AATCCATTTTCTTTTTTTGAGACAGGGTCTCACTATGTAGTTGAGACTGACCTAGCACTCACTATGTAGCCCAGGCTTGTCTCAAACTCACAGTGATCCTCCTGCCTCAGCCTCCTGAGTGCTAGGATTAAAGGCGTGTGTCACCATGCCCAATTTAAATCCATTTTCAAGTAAGCCTACTTAAATTCTGTTTTTTCTGTTTTTCTTTCTTTCTTTCTTTCTTTTTTTTTCTTTTTTTTGCTATGGGGGATCGAACTTGGGTGCTTGTACTTGCAAGGCAGGCAGTGGCACCACTGAACTAAATCTCTGGCCCATGTTTTCTCAATTTTCTGATGCACCATCTAACCATCAGTTGGTAGCTTTTTAGAACAGAGGGAAACTGCTTTAAGTGTGTTTGTTTTGTTTTGCTAACCAACAAGAAATCTACATTAAAAAATAATAATAATACATTTTTTTTCAAAAAAGAGTGTCTGCAGACCTTTATGGTTCCAAAGCTTAGTGTGTATTTAGTCCAGGCAGTGGTGAGAGCCCATAAATCAGATCACCAGGCCAGTCCTGGGGATTCAAATTCTGTGAATTTGAATTTGAATTTGAATGGGGGTTGTGGGTGTCTAAATTTTAGCGAGACCATTATTTGACTAGTGTTAAGGCCATACTCAGAGAATCAGCACTTCCTAGTTCTGAGTTGCTGTTTTCCTTCAGCAGGCAGGCAGATGTTTTATTGAATGTTAGATCAGCTGGGGGGTTTTGGAAGCTAGGTACTTGGTGCCTGAGTCCTTCATGATTTAAGAATTGAGCCAACTTATTTCAGCCTTAAAAAGGAAGGAAATTCTGAACGTGCTACCACACAGACAACCCTTGAGGGCTTTCTGCTAAGTGAAATAAACCATCTGGTCCCAGAAGGACAAATGCTACCTGATTCCACTTCTGTGAGGCACCCAGAGTGGTTGCCTTCATAGACACAGGAAGGGGACAGCGAGCCCAGAGGCTGGGAGAGACGGGAAAGGGGAGTTCTTGTCTACTGTCTTCAGAGTTTTACTTAGAAAGATGAAAAAGTTGGATGAAAGAGGTGGACAATGGTGACAGCTACACAAGGAGTGCATTTAATGCACTGAGGTTTAGACTGTAAGATGATCACAGTGGCAAACCGATAATGACAAAAACTGAGCAGAGCAGCCTCCTCTAGCTTGGATAACCCTCCACTCTCTGAGATGCTCCGCTCTGACTCCTTTGCGTGCATTGCTTGACACGTGATAAGCGGTCCTTTAGCCTGGTCAACAACAAAGCAAAACGCAAGCAAATCTACCTACTTATACTCCAGTTTTCGCTGTTGCTTTAAAACAAGAAAACGGGCTTGTCCGGAGAGGAGTGATGTCCTTATCAGTAATAAACATGTTCTGGCAGCTCTATTCCCGAAACTCATCTCTCCATAGTGCTAGGTTGGAATGGGTTGCGGTGCTCTGGATGGAACCCAGGGCTTCACATGCACTAGGTGACTGTTCTACCGCTGAGCTATGTCTCCAACCCACATCTTTTTTTTTTTTTACAGAAAATTTAATTGCCTGTTAAGAACTCAAATTTCACTTAAAAGTTCAACATGTGTTGTATCAGAAGCGCTCAACCAAGGAGGCCTGGGAGGAGGAAAGAGAGCTTTTGCATCCGGTAGTGATGCCTGCACAGACATCCCTCCTCCTGTCATGGCTGTGCTCAGCTTCCCTGTCTGGGTGGCAGGATTCTCTTAGCACTGAAAATAAGGGACTCTCCAAAATATTAAAATGTGGGGGAAATGGCTCAGAATTTGCACTTCTTGGTAATAAAACAAAGAAGCTGATTCTGGCTATTCTGAGCAGATTTCACAGGAGCCTGTCATTCCTGGAATTCCTGGGAAGGCTGAAGAAGTAGGCTGTAGGCTGAGCAAAGGGTTAGGAAGCCACCCCATCCAACCTTCAATTCAGCCACCATCAGGGCTGTGGTTCAGTTCTGTTTTCCCTGTGTCTTTGTAGCATTCCCCTCAGGGTTCAACCTCCGTTCTGGTAGAAAGAAATGAATGTGTAATTCTAGTTCACCTGCCCTCGTCCCATCCTGCTAAGCAATGGGGCGAAGGATTGTGTGTTGCACTGTCAGCCTCTGTGTCCTGCAAGGTCTCCCCCAGACAGGAAGATGTTCAACAAAAGACAATCCCTGGCTGGCAAGCCTCTCATTGCAATGTTGTCTAAAGTCCGTCTCCAGACCTGCAGAGCTGATGCTGCCTCACAGAGAAACCAGCTGAGAGAGGAGGGAGAGACAGGCCGTCCTTGCTGCAAAGCAAGCCCCCTACTCCTCCCGTGGGTGCCAGGGGACAGTAAATCGGTTCATCTGTGAGGCCTGGTCTCTGTGACCTACAGCCCAAGGTTGCCGAGTGCACAAGCCAGTGTCGGGCGACAGCAGCACTGACAGTCTGTGTGGCCTTGCAGCAAAAGCGCGGAGTAAAGCACTGACTCTCCATCTTACCTACTCCTGTGTGCCCAACTCAGTAAGTCTTTGGTTTTCCTCTGATCTAAACTAGCTACCAAAAGAGATGCGCATAAACCCTGCTGCCCCTCCAGCACTGCCTTTGTCTTCCTCACCCCCAAGGAATCAGGGTGCTGCAGCAAGACAGACTAAAGAAGAGAAAAGCAAGAACTAGACACCTTAAAAGTGCCGGGTGGTATCCGCACATACAGGCTGCTTTCCCTGATGAAGAAGGGAAAACAGGACCAGGAGGGACACATAGGGGCTTCAGCACTTCTGAATTTTTATTGTTAAAAATATATCTAAGCCAAGGGCCGGGGATTTAGCTCAGTAGTGCCGCCGCCTGCCTCCTCGCAAGCACAAGGTCCCGAGTTCGATTCCCAGTTTAAAATAATAATAATAATTATCATTATAATTATTATTATATATGTGTCAGGCATGGTGGCACACATCTGTAATCTCAGAACTTGGGAGTCTGAGGCAGGAGGATCAATGGGAGTTCGAGGCCAACCTGAACTATATAGTGAGACCCTGCCTTGAACAAACAAAACAAAAAATGTATCTAACTCTAGTTTGCTTTTGCAACGGCTCTTATACTTGTTCTTCAAATGCATGAAAACATTGGTCTGTGGACACCTTTATTTTCACTAATAGATTGATCTCCTTAGACATATCCTCATCTGCCCCAGACCCTAGCCTCCCTCCACCCCGTAGCCAACCAGTATCCTAAGCTAATACTGATGGATTTGGATTTATTTGTGCTGTTGTCCATACCCATAGATTGCTGAGTATTATTTTGTATTTTAACATTTCACATGAACATTGACATGCTGTACTCATCCTTTTAAAACTTTTTACTCCATTATTTTTTTGTTGGAGATTTTTTTTTTTT